TGCAACTCAATTGCACTTAAATTTCCCAGTCTCCAGCCAGCCTGGACATGTCTAGAAATTCACAGTGACTTTTGGATGCAGAATACTCCTACTAGGATGGGTCTGTAACATTCAATTCAATAAGCATTAATTGAATGTTTCTAGCATGCCTAGCCTAAATGGTAGATACATGCACTGGGACCACTGCAGTGCATGACCGCTTTCGTACCATTAGCTGGAAATTATCTGGCAGATATCCATCATGTGAAACAACAAGATACTTCTTTGCTGCCACTTCATTATTCAGCCTTGCTTGATTAGAGTTCTATAATTCTGAATATTTTGAAGTGTAGTCATAAAGCCCCATCATTTAGTAATACACATATAGGCAAAAGACTTTACAGTGGAATATCCTGCCCAGAGTCCTGTGAATTCCTGGACAGAACAGGGAGGAGCTCAGACCACTATGGAAGAAAGGAAGCTCACTGGTTTGCAGTCAGGGAGATAACACTTTTGCACTGGACAGATCTAAGGGAGAATATACTTACGCAGACCCATTTGAAGGTTGAGCAAAAGCAGCTCTGGGAAAGATATTAACACCATTTACTGAGGCACCCGCATTGGCTTTGCCAGTGTTGAATGCAGAATTAAGAACATTAGACTGTTTTCTCATCACGGGAGGCTTTATAGCATAAGCAAACAGTCCAGCTTCTCTACTATAAAGAAAAGTGGTTAAGTTCCCTTCTCTGGAGATCTTAACGAAAAGGTAGACAAGTCACGGGAGGCTTTATAGCATAAGCAAACAGTCCAGCTTCTCTACTATAAAGAAAAGTGGTTGAGTTCCCTTCTCTGGAGATCTTAACGAAAAGGTAGATGAGGTTTACAGGTGCCAAACCCTGGCCAAGAAATGAGGAGTGGGGTTGAGCACTAGTCTTCTGTCCTCAACTTGTCTTTTTAGCAAGAAGTTGGATGAAGCCACAGGAGGTACATTTATCCAATAATGCTGGGAGATACAGCTAACACACTAGACAAGATGATTTATATTCAGCACATGCTGGAATCCTGGGATGAAACTAAATAAAAGAAAATCTAATAGATATAAGGTTACTAAGACACCTGCCCAAATAAGGGAAGTCCAAGAAAAAAGGCATGGAGATTTTATGAGCCAACACAGGACATATACACAAGGGTACTTCAAAAAGTTTGTGGAAAGATTCATATTATCTTTAAATTATATTCTTCCATGAGCTTTTTGAAGTATCCTTGCACTATACACGGTGTACCATCATAAGGAGGACCCAGCACATAGTAGCCCTAGAACAAGGAGCTGTGCTCACATTGGTTAGATCACATCTGCAGTAAGGTGTACCATTCTAGATACCCCATTATATATAGAAATTACACACTGGAGTAAATTCAGAGGAAGGCAACCAGGATGTGGAAGGGTCTGAAAATATATTAATATAAGGAACAGCTGGAGAAACTGAGGACTTCCAACCTAAACAGAGATGGTTAAGAGAAAAGATATGACAAACATCTCCAAACACCCAAAGCCTTAAAGGGTTTCCACAGGCCAGATACAGTACAGTTTGAGCATTAAAATTAATTAATAATGGGTTTAATTATTAACAGATTAATCCCATTAAATAATAAAATAACCCACAAGCCAATGCTAAAAACAAATATCTAAGTCTTAGATTCTAAGGGCTAGCAGATAGAACAGAGAGTAAAGGTATTCCGTTTACAGACAGATGAATTGAAGCTACATCACTTTAGGTGTAATATAGAGAAAGACCTGTTGACAATTAGTTAATAAATGAATAATAAATGGAACCAGAGGGCAGAACTCTACTCAAGAATTTTCAAAGATCCTCACAGTCTGCTAAATAACTGTGCACTATTATTCCTAGTATCTAAACCTTGGCGTCCCCTCTAGTAAGGGTGGGAAGTAACCTTTACTGAATGTCTAACAGTTACCAAGTAAACGTATTTTATTTAATCTTCCCAATGACTTAGGATGGTGGGTATTCACAGACAGGGAAACTATGGCACAGTAACAGATATAGAGAGTAAGTGTCCAAGCTGGGATGTGAAGCCAGGTGTGTCCAAACTCCTTTCACCACAGCACAGCATACAAAATACACAAGAAGTGGCTGGGGAGGTTCCCTGGGCCCCACACAGCTCCTCAGGTCAGTGTATCATAGTCTTTTAATTGTTACACTTTCCTCATCCCCTTAGCCCAACAGTGCCACCATTACTGTTGTTCTTCTGGATTAGGAGTACTGGGGTACTTTTCTAGAAATCTGTGGTTAAAATGACCCTGATCTCTGTGAGGTCCTCTGCCCCGCCCCTCCTCCATCTTTCTCTTCTTCAGAGTCTGTTCACCTGACCACTTGGAAACCAGGGATCTCTGGCCTTCTAGTATATTGAGGGGACAATTTGACACTGCTGATAACATTTATAAACATTTATAAATGTTACCGATGAAACATTTCACCAGGGAGGGGAAGAGCAGGTCATGGACATGCGGCCTTCCTGTTACCACTGTCCTGTGGTACAAGGGTAAGAAAGCTCTAAGTTACGGTGCACTGTCATAGACAGGCCTCTCTCTATTTTATTTTGAAATGTGGATATTTCTAAGTGATTTTCCTGGTTTTGTGTATGGAAGAGAAAATCTCTCATCGTCTCCTGAACTTCTGCTCATGTCTCCTAAGGCCAGCTATCCTGATAGTAGTTAGGGGTTAATGTTCCTAAAATGCTTAATAAAGTTCCCCAGCTTAATAAAGTTTTCTGCATGGAGGTAAGGAAACTTCTAAACTTCTATAGCATATTTAAGAATAAAATGTTTATATGTTTGGCTACTTTCAGAGCACTGATTTCAGCTGCCTCTTAATCCTGGAGTTCCCTGGGACCAGGCACGATGTCCCCTCTGTTCATTCATTCTACAAGTATCTCCTGAGCATCTATGTGTGCTATGTGCCAGAAGTACAGCAGCAAAACAGACAAACACAGGCCTGCCTTTATAAGGGCTCCGTGACCTGGCTATAGAGACAGACAGGAAACAAAAAATTACAAAAAGAGGGATTCACACTCAACAGACAGTCCACATCTCTCCACAGTATCCAGCACAAAGCTCAGCACATGGTGGGTGCTTTTACGCAAATATGATATGTGGCTGCTGTTTTTCTAAAACGTACAGAAAGACTGACCAGCTGAGTTAATCTTAACATCGAGAGCTCAATGCTTTGACTTTTAGAGTGGGGAAAACATGACAGTGAATCAGGATAGCTACGTTCTAGTTCCTGCTTTTCCACTAATCACTAGAATTTTCTTGGGCAAGTCACTCCGTCTCTCTGAGTATCAGTTTCCTTACTTGTAGATTAAAGTAGAAGTACCAGGAACCCTCATTACTAATGAACTGTATGTTGGCAGAGGTGATCTAATCCAGCCTCACACTGGAGCTGGGGTCTTCCTAAGACAAATGGCTCGAGTATAGGTGTCTGTGCCTAAGTCAGGTCTGCTGGGAAGACAGATTAGTCACTGGAAGGAATGAATCCCCTGCACCATGAAACTCAGTCTGTGTCTGAACATGGGAAATGTCACACTTGACTTACCCCCTACTGACTGTTTGAAAAAGTACACTTTCATTCATAGGCTGTTCTAGGTTAATATTTCTAGACAGCAGGTCAGAGAAGACAGGAAATTGCAGAAATAGTTTTCTTTGTATTTTTTAAATCATGTCATTTGAGCCGTATCTTTGTATGTTTTTACAAGTGGAAAAAACCTAATTTTTCATCTCCTCTGATAGTCAAAAAGGCTTAAAAACTTGAAGGCAACTGTCAGATAAAATTACTTGAATGTCTAATGCATAATTAGGGTGATTTGGTGCCATAATCTCAGCAGATTTGGGGCATAGTCCCCACGGCTAAGGTCTTAGTGGCATTTTTCCCCAGTAAGGAAAAAATTAGGAAAAATCCGAATGAATGCAGATATTCTTAAAAAAAAAAAAACAACAAAAAAACCCCAAACCAAAAGGCCTATAACTTAGAAAACAAAAATGAAGGACACAGCCTATTGCCTGAGGCTGAAGGAGCAGGCCAAAATACTAGGTCTGGATAAACTAGGGCCAAATAGTCTTTGAAAACTCAACTTCATTCATAAAATCACTAATACGCAGCAAAAGATCATCTCATACTCTTTGGATCCTGGAATAAGCAAATGAGAGTAGGCTTGGACATGGACCCTTTCTTCCCCCTGCTGCAAACTCCGACAGTTGCATTTGTCACCTAGCTTGAGCAAATACGCAGAGACTTTGCTACAGTCTCCTTTCTTTTGATCCCTATCAGGACCCCTAACTCTCACTTACTTGCTCCAAGATGTAAGAGAGCAAGTGCCCAGGCTATTGCATAAGAATACTATATCCTTCATCCTTCACTTCCTGGTCCTCCTGTCCCTCGGGAACTGAACCCCTTTAATCTGGCAAGAAGAAGGCATCATTTCCACTAGAGTCCATTTGGTTAAGAGGCCCCCTACAAAGCAGTATCTCTGTGGCCATTTCCCAAACCACTAGTCTTGATCTAACTTAGAGATGAGCCCCATTCAAATCATTATAAATATGAGCCAATCACAGCCACTAAGGTCTCAGGAAACTATCTCAATGTCAGCATCCCTGAGATCCATCCTCCCAGAAGGCAGAGCAGCCTGAGCAGCCCAGGTGGGGCATCTCAGAAAGAGAAGAAACTTAGACTCTCTCTCTATTCCCCCTCTCCATTTCTGTTAAACTCTTCCAACATGAGCAGTCAGACTGACCAGCACAGTCTTCTGTCCCGTCAGACAAGATCTTGGTGGACATAAAGGACATGCCTCCTCCAGCCCTGTCCTTTCCCCTTTGGTGGACATAAAGAGACAACTGGCTCCTGAGTTTGGCTCCATAGTAGGAGAAACTCCTCTGGGGCACCTCTCCAGGGGTTGTGAAGCCAACAAGAAGTCTTGGGGGAAGGAAGGCTAGGGCTCTGTCCTACCTTGTCACTGTCCACTGTGTTCTGAGAGGTCCTGGAGGCAATGGAGATGGTGTCTGGCTGGCTGCTTCCATCCCCCTGGCTGTCAACATCCTCCACTCCATCCCTACAGGAAGAAGAGAAAAAAAAAAAACAGGGGTGGGGGTGGGGGGCACCACTGTGGGTTTAGGGCACACAAGGATTTCCAGCTGGGCTGGCAGAGCAGCGCCTCAGCACTTTCTGGCAGGGATTTGCCTAAGATTATCCTGCTAAAGGGAGCAGCCCTATGTGATTTTCAGTGATATCACCTCTTGTACTTAGTAAACACATAATCACTATCTTGTTAACCAAATGCAAAATGACCCCTTCCCCATAACTCCTCCAGCCCATGCTACAGAGAATGGATCTATAACAGGCAGCAGGAAGATGTATATCCTACTTAGAACAGGCTTCTACTCCCAGCTGACTGGGTCATTTCCAATAATCCTAGAGTTCAGGGTATTCAAATAGTTTTTCTGCATGTTGTTACTAGGGTGGGGTTAGTTTATAGCTGACCTACAAAGAAAATAGAACTGATAGTTTTTTGACTTGTGTTTCTTCTGCTCAGGATACATTTTCCAAGGGAGATTATTTTTGGGAAGTTGCTGACATTGGACTCTCAACTCTTATGGAGGAGGAGTTGTTGCCTTCATTTTGGTGGGTCTTTTTGATCTCATGCTTATTTTTGATGATTTCTCATCAACACAGAAGGCCAAGGCATTTTCTCATAGACTAGAGAACAGTCATGGATTTCACAGCAGCATTTCAGCCAGCTGTGCTCCTGGCTGTCTGGTAAGACTGTCTCCTGAGTGCACTCCTGGCACTTGGACCTTTTCCTGGGCCCCCGGACCTCACGGCTGTCCCGCTCACATGTTCTTTCTACTCTGTAGCGTTAGAATTGTGCCCCAAGCCTGCACTGAGCCCATAGCCAGGGCCAAGAGGGACTGGATGCCTGGGAACTGCTGAAGGCCGAGTGGTCTACGTAAGGAAAAACCAGGGGAGGTGGGGGGCAGGGGTTGGATGACAGGAAATGACAGCTCTTCCCATGGATGCTTTCACCTCAATGCTGCTTGTGGAGAAGTGATGGCATTAAGGGATGGGGAACTCAGTGCCTGAGAATCTTAGCATGTGGGCAAAATGCCACAAATAATGAGTCCACCTCACAGAGTCAAAACAATGATCATGTGGTGTATGTGGGAGTGTATGTTGACATGTGTGTGCATGCAGATGTCCATGTGTGTGCATGTGTACAGTGTCATAAAAAGTATTTTCTCCCATCCAGAACATTTCTAAGTTGACTGCTCTTTTACCACCACTTGTGGGCTTGAGAAATGCCAACTTATTTTAATAACATAAGCCACACATTTGTAGGAAGAAAAACCTGCTGTAAAAAGAAATTATGTGATGCATTTCAAAACCAAAAATAAAGGACTTTTTGATCATCTGTTGTTTTGAATTATCTGAACCACTGCTCCCACCATTTGTAGATAGTTGAGAGTTGGCTGTACTTCCTGTTTCCCGCTATTCTGGCCCATTGTGGCCCATCGTCCATCCAGATTAAGCCAGGTCTAGGGGATGTAGTGAGCCCATCCAGGAGTGTGGGTGGTATTCCTCAAGCCAATACAAACCCCCATAAACTCTGTCCCCCTGTCCAGGGAGCCAACCTAATGGAACTAAAGATTGCCTGGCTATTCTCTGTAGAATCTGTAAGGTTTCCCACCCTCACATCACAGGACAAAAGAAAATGTGGGGGGCATTTCCAAGATATGCCCTTCCCATCTTCTAGAAATGCTCACCCTTTCCTACCCTAGCCAACCTCACCTGAGTGTCCTCTCTTACCACAGCCCTGCACAATCAGTTCCTTATTACTATTTCCTATCTTCTTTATTAAAGTAGAGGCTCCTGAAGCAGCATCTGTCTCCAGTGCTAAAATAAGTCTACCCCTTAGTTGGACTCTGAAAATGGTGACTGAAATGAAAATGATTCCTCCCCCAATACTGTCATAATTTGTCCTTCCAGCACTGAGAAGGTGACCTTATCCTGGCCACGCAGGTCTTGGGGCTTCTGCCCCATGGAGGTATCTTTACCTTGGTCACACTGTTCTTTGGCTATCACCTCACTCAGGACTAATGCTGCTACTTTGTAGGCCCCATGGTGGCTCCCCATCTTGATTATCCTGGCTGGTGCCAAAGGGTCAGCTAAATCCTCTGGATTTATCCCATTCATGAATAGGGGAGGAGAGGAGAACCTGTTACCACCAGTGACCATCACCCCAGAACTCTGTTCTTGCTGTAATTTTTTTCAAAAAGTTTTTGTATACTTTCTTTTGAAGTGCCCTCCAAAAGAGAGATTGTAAGTGTGGATGTTACAGGGAGTCTTGAGAAATGCTTAAGAAGTCATCCACTGGTTTACAGGAAATGGGGATTCAGAAGGGTCCGGAAAGATACAAGAAATAGGTCCTCTCCTGCCCAATGACACTGCTTATATCAGGTGAATGAAGGTGAGGACTCTGCGGTGGTTGTAGTAAGGGCCGCGATGACAACCCCACCATACCACCCATGCATTAGAGGACACAAAGCCCTTTTGCTGTCTAACCATTCCAGAGAGCTCTCTACTCATGGCTCATTTCTTTCCCAAGGCTTTCTCCAGACACTCCACTCTAGGGCTCATCTACAGTCCCCTTTCTCTGAATTCTTATAGCATTTATTATCCCTACGGATGGCACTGGCTCTTCTTGCCTAACTATTCCATGTGTGAGACATGACTGTTAGAGGGTTCTTGAGGGAATCAACTCATCTCACGCTTCCTCTTATCCTGTAGCACCTAGGAGTGTTTATCACAGAAAAGGTGCTCAGTGAAGCCCTGCTGAATTTAACTGACAGCAATTGGTGAGATGCTTAAAGATGAGATAACTCATGTTAGGCGGAACTCAAGGACCTTCCTGGAGAGGGTGCCACCTGCAGAGTGCATCACCCCGTCAGAGGCAAAGGGTCACCCACTCCCACTCCCGGAAGCACGTGAGGCAGGCAGTGCTGGAGAGAGACGCTGTTACCTCTTACTATTGTTCCTCTGTTTGGCTGGTGTTTTGGGGAGCTGAATTGGCTCTTTTAGAGCTCCTTTCAGGTGAATGATCCTTTCTTGAATCACCTCTCGAATGTTCTTGATCCACTCCTGCTTGGTTTCAATGTTGGAGGCCTGAAGTGCCACAGGGAGAAAGATTCAGAACCCCAGCTCCCTCCACCCTGCCAGAACAGTCTCAGCCCTCCTCCTGTAGGTTTCATCTGTGATTTTCAAGGATACGAACTGTTTGGGGAGTTTATTTTGCACTTTATACTTGTGCCTCTTCAATCCCAGCGAGGCATTTCTCCAGCTCCTAGAAATAAGGCACTGACCAATCCTGATATCTGCCCTGGGGCTGGAGCACTATATGGAGGCCACACTGGGCTAGGAATTAGCACTTGAGTTGCTAGATCCTGGGGAGGTCTGGGGGTACTGGAAGGGGCAGCAGGGGGCATGGGAAGGCAGTGTCTACTCACCACCCAGTATGGATATAGTCAGGGCACTCAACACCTAGCATGGCTACACAGGCTAGCACTGACTGGAAGTCAGTCCTGGGGTTTTAGCAAGTCACCGCTATCATTCCATGAATATCCCACTTGTTTTTGTGGAATTTTTTTCAGGGAATTTTGTCTCATGACACGTTGCAGTTATGCTGGTAATGTAGCATGAACAGTGGGAAGCTTTTGTCAGGGTTGGACCATCTTTCCTTGGTGACAGGCACTTCCCTGACAAGCAAATGGCTGGTGGGGGTTCTGCCTGCATGATCTCTGCTGAGTCAGGCTAGGCTTACCACAAGCACTGACTCTCTCCCAGGCTGCCCCCTGGAGAGGTGAAGTGACTCCTTAAGGCCATCCTCTGGGGAAAGGCCCCTTTTGACACTTCTCTTGATCAGTATAGTCCCCATGCTAGTGTGATTTACTAGGTCTTCTAGAAAGTAAATTCCCAGACAATAAGGTCCATGTCTTATACATAGTTATCCCCTGAAGCACTGAGCAGAATACCTTATACACAGAAGGGGTTCAGAAAAAAATGTTGAATGAATGTGGAGCAAATCAAGGTGCCTTTTGTCAAAGGGTCAATTGTTGTTCTTGCCATTTGAAGGGGGCATATGGGCAGAACATAGTTTAAGTGGGCCTTGCTGAGGAAGCCCAATAGGCCACTCCCTGCCCTCTTCCCTCTGTGGTCATGCAAATGCATGGATTTGAGGAGACCGTTCATCTTTGAGCTTCGGGGTCTACCTTCATATTGGAATTTGCTTCTCAATACCCATGTGATGCTCAGTGGGGTCTCCAGACCCCAGCTTTTAGGCATCACATCTCTCTGACCCCTGTCCCCACAACATCCCAACCCTGGTCTTGTGCCCAGCAGACAGCAGCACTTACTTTCAGCACTGTTTTATTGTCTGAGGATGGGGTGCGCCCAGACCACAAGGCGAATTTGCAGGGATCGCCCTCCACGTGCTCAGTCACACCCAGCTCTGAGGTCTGTAGACAGGAAATGCCTGTGAGAGGCGGGGAAGGAGGGGGCAGTGGGGAGACTTAGGGCTGGGGTGGGAAGGGAAAGGCAACAAAGAGGAGAGGACCGAGGGAGGGGCTTCTGTCAATCAAACTTAAACAGACTGGATATTTTGTTCATCTACCCAGGATGGAAGGACCTTCAGGCAAGTGCCTGATTAGCAGGTTCAAGGGAGGGAAGGTGAAGAGGAAAAAGCAAAAAAGAACTGTGAACTCTCAAATGCAGAGTGGGAGGTGAGGGTGGGAGCTTTCCAAATAGACACTTTCATTTGTCTGGGTGGTTTGGTGTGAGGCAGGGGAAGAGATGAGCTGACTGCACCAAGATCCCTTCCTGACCAAGGGTCCTATGAAAGCAGGAGTCTTGATTTATCCCACCTGCCCCACCTACCAGTAGCTTGTTCTTGTAAACATATTTCGTGTGTCCTGAAGAGTCTTTGATCTCCTTGCTAAAAACCAAGGAGATTTCAAAGAGGAACAAGTGCCGCTCCCGCCCCTTCCGGATCAGTGACTTCGGGTCCCAAACTTGAAAGGCATCCTGGAGAATCAACTCCCCCTGCACGTCCAAGTTCTCATCGAACCCTGAAAAACACCCATTTCCACACTGTGGAGTTTCTCTACCATCACGCATTCAGAGGGGCCAAGTTCCACTCCCCTCTTGGAGAAAGGCCTTCCTAATTGTTAGCCCTCGGCTCCCCCACAAGGTTTTTCTCTCTCTGCTGACTCCAGACACCCCTGAACACTTAAACAGATGTTTCTATAGGACTGCACTTAGGTCTCCCCTGCCTGCTTCCCATACCGTGTTTCCTATATACATCAGTGGAATCTCCTGCAAATGTCCTATGCAACCTCACCTCCTCCCATCCTCTGTAAGCCTGGGACCTCCTCCAAGGGCAAATGCCACAGTTCCTTTCTCCACAGCTCCCCAGATGTTCCCAACTCAGAGTTCTGAGTGGGGCTGAGGTCAAACATGGCCTGATCCAGTGTCCTTGGCTCCACTTTATTTGTCATTCCCTTCCTTTTTACATTCCATTCTTAGGACTTTTCCCTCTGCTCCTGTATAGTGTGTTGCACAGGCCTTCAAGCATGTATATTTATGTCAATTTAAGTCTTTAAGAGAGGCTCTCACATTTTAGTGTGCATAAGAATCACCTGAAGAGTTTGTGAAAACAGATTCACAGATTCCTTCCCACCCCCACCTCCCAAGAAATTCTGATTCAGCAGGTATGGGGTGAAGTCTACCACCTTCATGAATTTGCCCTTCTGGCAAGCTCCCAGGTGCTGCTGCTGTGGCTCCACAGACCATACTTGGAATAGCTGGGTCCAGAACACAGGTCAGGGACAAGCTGGAAGAGCAGGCTACTTACAGAGGAGGATGCCCAGGGTGGGGAGTGGGGACACAGGTACAAACAGCAAAAGACAGGGGTGGAGAAATTGTGACAACAGGAATACATTCAGATGGTTCCTGCTCAGTCTGGGGAAGATAATGAGGGATCCTTTGCTCTAAGAATTGAGGCTTCCTGTACTAAGGGTAGTTCAGGAAGTACTGAGACCAGACCAAGTCTCTTAAATGGTGGCAATGGTGATGGTGGGGAGGCAAGGTGGGATGGAGCCCAGAAGAGAAAAAAACAGCCCACATGCTTACATATTTGCAACAGACTATACTTATTTCCTTGAGCATTTATTTGCCAGCCCAGACTGGAATGCTAACTTTTAACTTACCTAACAAATTCCACCCCAGTATGGCTGCTCTGCCCTTTTGTTTTGCAGTGTTAAGACCACTCTATTGGAGCCTTACTCTATGAAGTTTCTGGATCCCAAGAACATAGTTCCAGCTCACTGAAGTCCTATCAGGGTTATCTGGCTGGGCTTTTCTAACCTGCTAGGAAGGACAAAAGGCTGGTTGCATAAGAATGGGAATGTACTTAATACTACTGAACTATACGCTTAAAAATGGTTACAACGGTAAATTTATGTTATGTATACTTTACCACAATAAGAAAAAAAGGGCATAAGGCTGAAGATGGTGTGTGTGTGTGTGTGTGTAAACAGGATTTCTACATCTTCTAATAATAAAAGCAATGCAAATGCTATGCAGTTACCAGAATGGCTACGGGCAATAGCATATTCAGTCAGGATGATGGCCTGTTCTGGACTATCTCATTGGCAGCAAGATGTCCACATTCCTTAAATGGCTTAGGCCTAGTCCTACTGGAGGCAGAGTGTTAGCCAAGTCGGTCCCTGTGGAGGTCCTCTCACATGCCAAGGACCTGTGTAACAACTTGCCATTTCTGCTTTCTTCCAGCCTTGCCCCTTGCCTGACTTCATGCCGCTTCCCTCCCATGACACATGCTCCCTGCTGTTAGGAATAGAGGAGGCCTCCCCAGGGCTGGGAGGACAGCTACCTTCCAGCATGCTGACGTGCATGGCATCATTGGCTTTCTTTGGGACACTGAGCATCACCTCCAGGCCATCTTTGAGCTCCCCTTTCCCTTCTTCACAGCAAGTTAAAAGTTCCTGGGGAAAAAAGTCAAGACACAATTAGGACCATTTCCCCCAGCTTTGCAACCCTTCCACCACCTAACTTATTAAGGAAATTATACACCAGCTTCTCTCTGGATTGGTTCCCTCTGAGCTATAAAGAAAGTGGAGTGGGGTGGGGGTGGTGGAGGGTTAACGCTAAAGAATTTAACCACTATTTTTGTCCCAGACTGGTTTCCTCAACCCAATCTAGTCCAGACTAACTCAATCCAACCCAACTCCCAAATGGCTGGAACTATAAGTCAGCAACTAGGGCACCGTCTGTCTCTGAACTGCCTTCCTGGAGAAGGAACCACCACCTCTGGCAAATACATGAACAGAGGTGCAGTATTGCAGAATCACAATAGAGGGAATAAAGAGAAAAATAAAGAGAAGATGAAGGGTGTGCTACAGAACACAAAGCACTCGTCTATCACTGCACACCTATTGCTAACAGCACTTCTATTACAAGCCTCCACTACTGATTCCATGCTACTGAGGGCAACCTGAGGCTAGAGACATTATAAGTTAATAACACTCCATAGTTATAAAAGATTTTTGGATCATATGAATCTAACCTGGGTCCAAGAGATAAAATTCTAGACTGATCCTTCCACTGCCAGGTGAGGAAACTGTGATTAGGATGGATGAAGTGATTTTCCCCAGTTTATGTAACTCAATGGAGGCCAGGCAGGGGCTTACCTCCAGGTCTCCTGAATCCAAGTCTAGCAGTTCACCCACCACACCAACCCTGTCTCCCACATATTCTCTATCACACAGAGACTTCCTGGAGCATATCCATTCTCTCTTTTACTTCCTGAGGAGCTTGGGAGCATGTCATGAAGATTCAGCCATAACATCCCCATAAAAGATGTATAGTATCTGGCTGATGGAGAAAAGATCACTTCCAGCTATCTCAGGAATCATAAGAACATTTAGAATGAGTTTTACCCAAACCAGAAGAATGCTGGCTTTTCATTTTTCCTATCAGGGTTACTGTGACACTGGAAAGAAAACAGTTAAGCAACTGATCCGCAATCCATACTCTTTGACGGGTCAAAGGATGGGCGGTTGGGTAGGGTTGCACTTCCAGGAAGGGAAGTAGTTCACTAGATCAAATCTTGTGAACACGTTAATGACAGACTTCCTGGCAAACTAATGGTACTTATCTATGAAATGCTTTTAACAGGATATATCTGGCCTGTCTAGGACTTCTGATGGCAAGCAAACCTGGCTTTAGGGGTATGGCTCTCTGGAAAGTGTCACATAAGCTACGCAATTATTTAAGTAAAAAGTCAGTACATGCGAATGAGTTTTACCCAAACCAGAAGAATGCTGGCTTTTCATTTTTCCTATCAGGGTTACTGTATCTTGTTCACTGTGACACTGGAAAGAAAACAGTTAAGCAACTGATCCGCAATCCATACTCTTTGACGGGTCAAAGGATGGGCGGTTGGGTAGGGTTGCACTTCCAGGAAGGGAAGTAGTTCACTAGATCAAATCTTGTGAACACGTTAATGACAGACTTCCTGGCAAACTAATGGTACTTATCTATGAAATGCTTTTAACAGGATATATCTGGCCTGTCTAGGACTTCTGATGGCAAGCAAACCTGGCTTTAGGGGTATGGCTCTCTGGAAAGTGTCACATAAGCTACGCAATTATTTAAGTAAAAAGTCAGTACATGCCAAAATGACTCTCTTCAGGGTAAGTGACACAATTCAACCTACTTCACTTAGAAACCTTGCATGTTAATCTGGGCCAGAGCATATTCTGATGATATAAGACAAGACTTGGAGCTGCACTGGTGACTTTTCCATGTTTCATCTCTGGCTTGGGATTATTTGTATCCTTGAAATTATTAGTAAATCCTCACACTTTGCCTGTCTAGGACTTCTGATGGCAAGCAAACCTGGCTTTAGGGGTATGGCTCTCTGGAAAGTATCACATAAGCTACGCAATTATTTAAGTAAAAAGTCAGTACATATCAAAATGACTCTCTTCAGGGTAAGTGACACAATTCAACCTACTTCACTTAGAAACCTTGCATGTTAATCTGGGCCAGAGCATATTCTGATGATATAAGACAGGACTTGGAGCTGCACTGGTGACTTTTCCATGTTTCATCTCTGGCTTGGGATTATTTGTATCCTTGAAATTATTAGTAAATCGTTACACTTGGTAATATATTTGATGAGTGAGAGTCTGACATGAAAATCCAATCCTTTGTGTTATCTTGGATACATTCCCATATAAATAAGGGGCTTAGAGTGTCCAAAGGAGAGGTGAACTGCCCAGAGCACATGTTCGGGAGGTAGGAGTGATCAGTTCTCAGCTCTGTCCTTGGTTGCAGTCAGTATAATGTCATCGTGTTAGGAAAGCTGTATTTCCTTTTGCCAACCTGAAGTTCTCGGGTCCCCCCACCCCTTTCCTAATTGTAATCCTCCAACCTTGTTCTCATACACCATCAAAGGAACTCCTGAGGCAGAACATGAGAGAAGGAAGAAATATGCTTCAGTTTGCAACAGAAAATATCAATTAGTTTAATCCCCCAAAGTAATACCGGTCTATCAGCAGAGCCAATAAATTCTTCTTGGATCCTTGCTATAGTTTATGATAAGGAAAAGTCTCCATATTTAATTTAGGCTCCAGAAGGACAGCAGTAGCAGATTTATAAGAAGAAGACTGAACACTCTAACTGACATATAGTTTCTACTTCCATGTAGCACCTAAAATGATGAACTCCAGAGGACACTGACAATTAAATATCGATTTATTTGGAATAAAATTGCCTTTAAGGAGAAAATAAATCTCATATTATTTATTTATAGTAAAAGCTCAACAAACTATTTTTCTTTTACTCAGCAGGAACTCTGCCACCAGCCCATTTAAAAGAGGCCAAAATGATCTCTTTTTTTCAATAATTTAAAAACACCCCCCACTCCCACAATCAAATTCCTGCTGCTTTGTTTTTTCACTTCACAGTTACCTGCAAAGACAACCTCTTCCTAAAACACCAAATTCCAGAATGAAGGCCCAGAGCCCACTCTTCCATCTGCCTAGAGCAAAACACAGGGTAGCTTATTTCGTCCTCCACTCCCACAATGCCCTCCCCCTCCCCGCCCCGTCCATGTCTCATAATTAATACTATCTTCAGCCTCACAGGATTAAAAGGGAGAGGAGAAAAGCTGTATTTCTCTTAGAACTGTATTGTAACTGACCTCAGACAATGGCAGTGTGGATGTGTGACCCAGCATTGTTTTGTTTCTTTCTTAATTCACAACCCCACCAATTCCTAAAAAGGCTTTGAAATACATAAACTAAAAACCATGAAAATAAAATTTAAAAAGTCTATTAGCACAAGAAAAATAATTTAGAAGGGTCAAGCATTATGTGAGATAGGGAAGGAGAAGATAATTATACACAGAAAACTTGGCCAAGGAGTCTACTGCCATACCACCCTGAATGCACCTGATCTTGTCTGATTTCAGAAGCTAAGCAGGGTCGGGCCTGGTTAGTACTTGGATGGGAGACAACTTACCCAAGGAGAGAATCTACTGTAAGTAACCACCAAATTCTATGCTAACTTTCTCATAGTCCAAAGCAAAGAATTGCCTAAAGCACTTGCAGTTTAAAGGTAGAAAGAATGCCAGGTTTTCAGGAGAGAAGCCTCTCCCCCATCCCCCACTCTCCCCCATCCACCCCGAGATCTTATGAGAATTTCTGTGAGTCTTTATATAAGAAACTTCAAAAAATAAAGAAGCAAAAATTGTTTGGCAAAACAAATGAGATGTTCCACACATTGTCACTTCCCACACTAGTCCTCAATAAAGGCTGAGGGCATGATGCCCAGTTGTAACTCTCTAAGCCATTTCTGCAGGGGTGGGTGACTTGAGTCCTGGAAGCAGAAGCAGTCCTTCTTGGAGACAGGGAAGGAGAAGTTTTGCAGGAAGCTGGCTGAAGGGGAATGATGGTGCTTGGCCTTGCCCTGACCCACAGGACAGAAGAAATGACCACAGCATAGACTCCCTGCCCCCTGTCCCCTACCACTGCCCCCCCGTCCTCTCATCATGGAACCACCAGGAAGACCCCACACTGGTGGGCACACTCCAGTGTGACTGAAGCCCTAGATTTGAAACCAGATTGGTTTTCAGGTTCGGTGAAGCAAGGATGTGTAAAATTCTACAGGCATCTCTAAACACAAGCTGAATTCCATCAGATTTTCTCTGAAACTGCACTATTTATAACATGTCCCCCACTATTCCATTATCCTTTGCATTAGAGGAGCAATGAGCAAAATATTCAAAATGAGGGAAAACTCGGGCCCGCCCGGTGGCGCACTGGATAGTGCGCCGCTTGGGAAGCGCGGCGGCGCTTCCATCCGAGGG